AGCAAAACTTTGAAATAAATGTCAAACAATAAAAGTCCTCGTTTTATGAGTTAATATATGTATGAAATAAGAGCTGTTAACCCCATTTTATAGATGAGGAAACTGAGACTGCATGGTTAAGCATCTTTTTTTTTTCAACATGTTGAAACACATCAAATGGAAAGTTAAGCATCTTATCCCAAATCATGCCACTAACAAGTAGTAAAAGCAAAACTTTAACCCTGGCAGCCCTGGCAGATTTATGCTCTTCACTCTATGGCTTTTCAGTGGAGCTCACTGTCTATTTTTTTTTAAGTGGAAACATTCTGGCTTATGATTTTAGCATCAGCATAATTACCTTCATATCTAAAAAGCAAGCTCTGGCTAGAAATCGACCCTTTCTTGCTTAATAATAACAACATTGGCTGCCATTTATTGAACTTGCTCTGCATGCCACGAACCAGGCCCAGGAGTCTACAGGGAGTACATCACTCGCTCCTCAATGCATTCCCAAGAAGTAGACATATTTATCTTCCTTTCCTAGGTGAAGAAACTGAGGCTTAGAGCATTGTATGCAATTTGCTCAAGTTCACATTGATAGTAACAGTAGAGCTTAGATTCTAAGCCCAAGTCTGGCTGATTACAAAGCCTGTGTTCGTTTTAGATTTCACTATATGAAATAGACACAATTAATGATACTGTTTGTTCTAATATTAATTTTTATACAGCCTCATAGTAGACCTTATCCCAGAAGAAGCTGTGAAAGGACATCTGCTCTGGTTGTCAGCCCTGACCATTGCAGACATCCAGTCTGGTTTAGTGGAATCACGGCTGCATTGCCCACCCACACACCTGCCCTATCCTTACATTCTATTTGTGTTGTTCCTTATAGACTTGCCTGCACCTGAAGGCCTGAAATTCAAGTCCATCAAGGAGACATCTGTGGAAGTGGAGTGGGATCCTCTAGACATTGCTTTTGAAACCTGGGAGATCATCTTCCGGAATATGGTAAGGAGTACAAAAGAGCAGATCCATTTGACCTCAAGGATTTGAAAGATGATCAAAGGGTTCTGAAGACTTTTGTATCAACTCAATTTCCTTAGCTTTTGGTGGAGGGCAAGACTCTAATTAGTACCTTTTGTATTAGCATCTATATTTTAAGGGATGTTGGTTTTCCCCTCATTTTAATAAGTCGGTAAGTACAGCACTTAGGGGTGAGAGCCTAGACAAATAGAACTTGTCGTCTCAAGGTTCCAGTTGTCCCTCTTCACCTTGGAAATCTCTACTCAGAGGCAAAGAAGAGAATAAATGGTCTATCCCTCAAAACACAGGTACACCTCAGATTTGAGCAGCCCTTCTCTCCAGGTCCAAAAGCACATGTAAGGCAGGGAACTTGTTCTCTGAATTTAAGCCCCACCTCTGCCACCAACTAGCTGTGTGACTATCCAACAATCACCCTGCTTCTCTGATGCTGGCCTCAGTCTACCAAAGGAGGGATTGAGCTTGTGGCTTCAGAAGTCCTTTGGCTCTCACATTCTGTCATTTGACTTGCATGACAAAGGGGTAGAGGTCTACGAGAGGGAGAAACAAACTAGAGAAATGTCTTTATCATCTCCGTATCTCAGTGGTTCACATACTGATCTGATGCATAGTAAGTGCCTAATGAATAGATGAAAAAATGAAAGAGGATTGAATGAATGCAGAGTGAATGAATCACATAAATTAAGAGACTAACACCTCCCCTAAGTCTTACCAAGCTCCTTCTCTCTCTCAGAATAAAGAAGATGAGGGAGAGATCACCAAAAGCCTGAGGAGGCCAGAGACCTCTTACCGGCAAACCGGTCTAGCTCCTGGGCAAGAGTATGAGATATCTCTGCACATAGTGAAAAACAACACCCGGGGCCCTGGCCTTAAGAAGGTGACCACCACACGTGAGTATCACCTTTAATACCCCTGATACAATGATAAGGCTGATTGTACCTCATAGCATCTCCTGGCTAAGAAAGTGCCTTCTCATATAGCATCTATATCATTTACTTTTTGCTACATTTTTAAAAGTCCAGTTACAGTGGTTTAAAATGACCATTCTTTGCATGTTGGTGATCTAGGTTTGGGCTCAGCTGAGCAGTTTATCTGTTCTTGACTGCACTCCTCACAGATCTGTGTGATTAAGGGGCGGATTGGCCTAGGATGGCCTCAGCCAGGATGGTGTCTTTCTTCTTCACAGGTCTCTCATTCTCCAGGATGCTGGTCCTGTTCACACAACTGTTGAACAGGTTCAAAACTGGTATTAGATCACTTCCACCAAAGTACATCCAAAGGCCAATTTATGTTTAAGGAATGGAGAAACAGGTCCGTCTCTTGATGAAAGGAGTTTCAAAATTGTCTTCCAAAGGGGCATGAACTACCTGAAGATAGATAATTAAGTCCATTGCTAACAATCTACCATGTCACTAGTTTAATGTTAGCACCCAGTTCTAGGACAGACGAGGGGAAAATATTAATGTTAAATCGTAAAGAAGCTAAATCACTTTAACATCACATAGTTAACACTATCAGGAGCATAACTTTAAGCCAGGGTAAGTTTTATAACTTTAACCCTGCTTCTGCTAACATTGACTAGGCTCTGATTTATGCAGAATGTTGATTCTATCTCTTCAATAGAAACCTAAATAAAAATTTACTCAATGCTAATGATGTCAGAACTTCTTGTGAGTAGAATAGAATTTAGCAGTACTAGATCATTTGGTAAGAAAAATATCTGAATTTGGAGTTGCTCTACCAGGAAGAAATTTTTTGTTGTTGTTTTTGACACAGAGTCTCACTCTGTCTCCCAGCCTGGAGTGCAGTGGTGTGATCTCAGCTCACTGCAACCTCTGCCTTCTGGGTTCAAGTGATTTTCCTGCCTTAGTCTCTCAAGTAGCTGGAATTACAGGTGCCCACCACCACACCCAGCTAATTGTTTTGTATTTTTAGTAGAGACGAGGTTTTACCATGTTGGCCAGGCTGGTTTCGAACTTCTGACCTCAAGTGATCCACCTGCCTCAACCTGCTAAAGTGCTAGGATTACAGCCTGAAGTTTTTTAAAAAGAAAAAAATACATAATTTTGCACTTCCATAAAGGAAAACCTCTTTATTTTCTTCAAGATAACATATGCATCAACTCTTTAAGTAATTGACTCTTCTTGGCAGGGGTTGTTGGAAAAGTTAAATCAGTTGCTAATGACAAGAAAGAACATCTTGCATTTAAATATTTGCACATTTTGCCTAGCTCATAGCCAATTCCACGGATTTTCTCCTTCATAAGCAAGCGTTTTCCATCATCCTGACAGCATCTCTCTGTGGTAGGTAGAAAAGCAGGTACCAACAGGAAAAAAAATCATTAGATCAACAGAAACACAAAGACAAGAAAAAGCAAATGCTTAGTTGCCATGGAGGAGGTGCACTGAAAATACAAAAGATTTTTTTTTCACTGCTCTTTTCTTTTTAATCTACATTTGGGAATTGGCTGCTTTATTTCTTCTTATTTCAGAACAAACATTCTCACATTTGAAGTTGCAAAATCATATAAATTTCAACATAGGGGGACAGTTATTTACCTGTTCATTTTGCTGATATACCTGAAGCCTTTAAACCTTTAACCTTTTTTCCAGATTTAAAGGGCCTTAAGCTTTCAGTTCAAAACACCTTTGGCTCCTTCTCTCTGGCATCTATATAAAGGTGGTATTACACTTACTTTTGAGGTCAATATTGAGAGGTGTTGTCATGTAAGGGGGAAAATGGATGGGTTTGGATTCAGTCAGCTCTGAGTTTGAATTCCATCTTCACCATTCACCATCACCTTGGAAAAATCTGTTTCTTTAAGCTTCAAATCCAACAGCTGAAAATGGGTTTACAGTATTCTCCTTGTGGGGCTGTCGTAAGACTCAAGACATAAATAACAAAGCACCATGTTTGCACTCGATAAGAACAGAGCAGTGTTCATTTCTGCTATTCAAAGGTCCAAAATTTGGGGGGTATCAGTGTCCTTGACTGAATCCCAGCTTCTTTAATGAAAGAGGTACTAAGGAAGGGAGTAGTTACGGTTTGGGTGCTTGCTAGCACCTATAAGAACAGAGAACAGGCAGCTTCTGTCCATTTTTGTGGCATCGTTTTCATTACGCATTTGATAAGTACATTATCTGTGAGCTGAGACTGATGTGTGAACACCTAGACTTCAAAAACAGACTGCGGTTTTCTCACAATCAGCTGCGAATTACTCTTCCTTTTCATTCCCTGTATAAAGCCGATTTCCTTTCACTTGTTATTGTTTACTGAACCAATGCTGAAAACACAAACATTTTTTTAAAGAGAAACATTTACTGAATACCCAGAATGTGCCTGTCTCTATGCTGGGAATTTAAAAAGACTCACTCTCTGAATGAGTCAATGACCCCATCTAAATTGATTCTGCAGTACAGAAATCTGTTATGAAACAGTAAGAAAGGTATGACACTAGATTGCTCTTTAAGGACAGTTGCAGCCACAGGGAGGTAATATGTGTTTACCTGAGTGCAGCAGGGTTAAAAAAAAAATGCTTTTCATTAGGAGACAACATTTAAGTGGGGTTTTGAAGGATGCACAGGAGATTTTTAGAGAGAGGTATGATCTTAGAAGAAATGAGAGAACAGCATGTGCAGAGACCAGGTGATGCACAACCGCATAATGTGCTTCCAGAGCTCTGAGCATCTATCAAAGTACAACACCAGAGTGAGCGAGGCAGAAAAAGTCAAGATGAGCATGCAAAAATGGGCAGGGCTTGAAATAGCAATGACTTTCTTGCGTGAATTCTTTTTATCAAAAATAACTTTCCATACGCTGTCAAGACAGTCTACTGCCTCACTTTTCTGCTTTGTAATTCTGATGGAAAAGTTTTCAGCCACCCAGGAAGTTTTGCCTAATTAAAGATGTAGAAAGAGCAAGTTCATTTTTTCAAATGAAGTATCCCCAAAGCATGTTTCCTCAACTTATGAGAACAGTAATAGTAATAACAAAAGAACAACCTTTTTTTTTTTTTTTAAATGTGACATCCATGAGCCAGGCTCTATGCTAGATGCCTTGCAAGCTTTATCTCTCTTAAGATTTGAAAAAACAAGAAACACTAGAGGTAGCTGCTTTTATCCCTACTTAGAGCTTTTTAAACCAAAACCTGAGGTTCAGAAAGGTAAACTAAAGTCAAGTGGTTAGTATACAGCTAAGTGTTCACCCACAGGCCTGGAGAGTTACGAAGTCCTCTCTCTGCTCAGCCTCAGGCACTGGCCCTGACCTCTGAACCCATTCTGTCTTCTGCCCATCATAGGCTTGGATGCCCCCAGCCAGATCGAGGTGAAAGATGTCACAGACACCACTGCTTTGATCACCTGGTTCAAGCCCCTGGCTGAGGTCGACGGCATCGAGCTGACCTACGGCATCAAAGATGCGCCAGGCGACCGTACCACCATCGATCTCACAGAGGACGAGAACCAGTACTCCATCGGGAACCTGAAGCCTGACACTGAGTACGAGGTGTCCCTCGTCTCCCGCAGAGGTGACATGTCGAGCAACCCAGCCAAAGAGACCTTCACAACAGGTAAAAGGCCTTCCCCTGTTAACAGATACAGTAAAGGAAAGATTGAAAAATTTCCATCCCACTTCATGTTGGGGTGTCTTCCAGGCTCATTTTACAGTAAGAAAAATAAAAGGAGTATTTCTACTCTTTTAAATTTGAAAATATTGTAGCGATTTGTTAATTAATTAAAAAAAAAAAAAAACACAGAATTCCAAATAACCTTCTAAAGCACCTTTGGGGGCAACGGACATACACAGAAGATGCTGGTATGATATTCTCAGACAAGAGTTCTCCTTAAAGTTCAAATAAATATTTTTGAAGTAAAATACAATATATGTAAAACATATATGACAAATGAGCCTCCTATCACCTCAGCCTATGACATTATTTTCAAAGTTCAGAAGTGTCCATTTTTCATTCAGTAAATATTTTTTCAGAGCTCAGTAATCACTTTGTGAGTTATTAGAAATATAATGAGAAGGACGGGCATGGTGGCTCACGCCTGTAATCCCAGCACTTTGGGAAGTCAAGGTGAGCAGATCACGAGGTCAAGAGATCAAGACCATCCTGGCCAACATGGCCAACCCCATCTCTACTAAAAATACAAACATCAGTTGGGTGTAGTGGCACATGCTACTCAGGAGGCTGAGGCAGGAGAATCGCTTGAGCCCAAGAGGCAGAGGTTGCAGTGAGCCAAGATCGTACCACTGCACTCCAGCCTGGTGACAGAGCAGGACTCCATCTAAAAACAAATAAAAAGAAAGGAAAGGAAAAGAAATACCATGAGAAAATGCAGAAGACCAGTTCTTGCTCTCATGAGCTTATTCTTAAGTCTTTGTATTGTTCTTTAAGCACAAAGTCTGAGAAAAACACAAATGGCTACATTGTTACAGTCAACCATAATAGGATAATAGGGAAAGGTGCAAATCTGTAACATTTGTTTAGATTTGCGCATCAACTATGAGGACAGATGAGTGTGCTGAGAATTTTGTAAATTTTCTCTAGTGACAGGCACCTTTCATATGTCAGCTTTAGCTGTCAAAGACTCTGGCTGTCTTGTGACTGATATATTCAATGCAAATGTTCCTTCTTCTCTCAAACAGGCCTCGATGCTCCCAGGAATCTTCGACGAGTTTCCCATACAGATAACAGCATCACCCTGGAATGGAGGAATGGCAAGGCAGCTATTGACAGTTACAGAATTAAGTATGCACCCATCTCCGGAGGGGACCATGCTGAGGTTGATGTCCCAAAGAGCCAACAAGCCACGACCAAAACAACACTCACTGGTGAGCTCTGCATCTCTGCCTGCCTGAGCCAGCCAGCCCTAGAGGGCCCTTAAAGGATGGGCACTTCCTCCCACATGTCCCCATTTGCAACCCTCAGAAATAAGTCCAATTTCCAGACATACCACTTACTTGGACTGCAGCGAGTTCTTTTGTAAAACATTCTGAACATTGGTTATAACCTCCAGAGACCAACTCAAAGCCATTTTTATCATCCTCTGAAAGTCCCTTTGATTTCAGGATGAATCTCAGCTTGCACATTCTCTCCTTAGGTCTGAGGCCAGGAACTGAATATGGGATTGGAGTTTCTGCTGTGAAGGAAGACAAGGAGAGCAATCCAGCAACCATCAACGCAGCCACAGGTGGGGCATACCTGGGATTCCCATCCCACTGAGCTGGTGCTGGGCAGATGAGACGGGGCCAGTGTGGCCAAAACCTGTTTAAAGAGAAAAAGTAGAAGCCCAGAGGAGAAAGGGCCCTGTAGTACTATCTAACTTCAGTGTTGAAATTCAAAAGGAATATAAGCACAGTCCATCTGTATGATGCCAACATCATCCCCTGTACGAGAAGGGGGATGGAAGATTTTTAAAAGAAAAATTAGAACCAGGGTTTATAAAAAATTCACAAAAATTTTTAAATTGGTAATCAAATGCATCTTTTAAATAAACTATTGTCTACTCCAAACACATCTGTGGGGTTTTCTCTGAGAAAACACCTAACTTTTATACCCCTGTCAAGCAGTTTATAAGTAACAGGATCATAGTTTAAGTCTACGTCTTAATTCGACCTTATAATTAGACCTGTTTTACAGAATTGAAAAGAGAGACCCAGAGAGGTGAATAGTATGTGGTCCCTCAGCTCCCCTGTGGCAGACCTAGGATTCTAGCCCAGAGGCAGTTGACTTTCAGCCCCAGATGCAGCCCTGCCTTGCAACCTGAAGAGCATTCATCTCTGTTCTCCTCCCAGAGTTGGATGCACCCAAGGACCTTCGGGTTTCTGAAACCGCAGAGACCAGCCTGACCCTGCTCTGGAGGACACCGTTGGCCAAGTTTGACCGCTACCGCCTCAATTACAGCCTCCCCACAGGCCAGCGGGTGGAGGTGCAGCTGCCAAGAAACACCACCTCCTATGTCCTGAGAGGCCTAGGCCCAGGACAGGAATACAACATCCTCCTGACAGCCGAGAAGGGCAGGCACAAGAGCAAGCCTGCACGCCTGAAGGCATCCACTGGTGAGTCTGCCCTGAGCTTCCTCCAAACTCTAGGTTGATTCTGGGGTTGTCAGATCTGTTCAGCCAGGTTGTCCTCACATGAGCAAGCCATATGCAAAAACTAGCCACTTTCTCCATGCCTGAAGCCCCTGAACGCCACTTTGAAAGGGCTGCTTACTTGTCTTTTCTGCCTCCTGTCAACTGATACAGCAAAGTTCTCCCACTGGGCAATCGGGGTTTTGAAATATCTCTTCCTGGAAGAACTAAAACATCAGGATTTGTGTTTGCGTTTGCCTACAATTTTTGTTTTCTTTTTTTAACTATGTGTGCTTCACAGAATCTTTTTAATTATTTGTCTATTTCCTTCTTGTAGCCTAACAATGAATTTACTTTTCATTTTATTTCTTTTAAAGATGACCAAGATGTTGGTAATAATGTTTTTTGATTATTTCCCACAAAATGTTTTTATTGCAGGTTTTTTGCTTTCTGTGTTATGAAGAGTGTGGCACATGTCCCTTTGAGACTTCCACAGTGCCCTCTCATTTTCTCTTTTCTCTTAGTCATTAAGACATTAACCTAGTTTGTCTATGACAACAGCTAATCCTGACATTCTGGCCCATGTAACCTATTCGCTAAACCTGCTCCCATGCTTACTTGGTGGCTACACTGAAGAGAAAATCAGGTTTTTAAAATATTTCTTCCTTTACAAAAAATAATCCCATTCAGTTTTGGCCACCAAATATTCAAAATGTATAGGTGTAAAATGTCACTTCTCCAGGGTTTGGCAAGTAATAGTCTTTTACTTCCAATGTAGTTAGTAAGCATGTACTGACCACCTACTGCATACATTGCATCACGCTGATACTTGAGGAAAAGTGGTTCCCAAAGTCCGCATTGTTAAGTGGACTCGTGTGCCTGCTCATAGTGCTTGCAGAAGACTAGGTACTCAGAATCTAGACAGAACTCAAGAACAACAGTGATCTGGGGGAATCAGGAGCAGCTGGCAAAGAGGTCATGGCAAGAGATGTTATTCCAGTTAAGCCTTGATAAGCAAGAAAAGGGTTAGAAGAATGGGCATATTTGGAAATGGCTTGAACAGTCTTTGTCGCAGTATCCTCAGTATCAAATTACAGTCATTTACATGAGATAGAAGTTGGTTTTCTTTCTTATAAAATGAATCTGGAGCTGGGAGGTACAGGGATAACTCAGTTTCAAATTGTCAGGCACCCAGGCTGCTTCTTTCTTTTCCACCATGTTTAGTCCTTTCTTTTCCATTCTCAAAGTCATCTCAGTGTCACAACACGGCTGTTGTAGTACAGCCATGACATCTGTGTTCTAGGCAGCATAAGGGAGAGAAAACCAAAACTCCCAAAGAGGAGCACCTTCTAGGCGAGTCTTTCTGGAAACTCCACCAATCACTTCTCCGTAGTTCGTTGGCCACTCTTAGCTGTAAGGGAGACGTGGAAAGGTAGTCTTTCATCCAAACATGTTGCTTCCACATAAAATGGAGATTATTTGTAAAAGGGAAATTTGGCAGACAATGAGCAGTCTCTGCCAGAGTCTGAAATGAGTTCAGGTGGTCAATTCTGTTGACTCTGCATTAACTATAAGATGAGAATCAAGGATGCTCTGAAAGAGTAGTTTAATCAAAACTAAGAGGGGGGATAGAATCAAGAAGAAATAAATCTACAGTAGAGATTTAAATATTTCAGCTTTATAAACATGAGCTTGTTATAAAGTGTCAAGGGGCAACAAATGAATCAGAAATAGACAAAAGACAAAATCCCTCTCTTTTCTTTCTCTCTTTCTCTTTCTTTCCTCCTCCCTCCCTCCTCCTCTTCGTCGTCCTCCTCCTTCCTCTGCCCCTTTCTCTCAGCTTTCCCTTGAGTTTGATAAATGCTGTTTCTAAGAGAGATTTTCATTGCCCCCCAATCAATCACTCCACCTTCTGGTGATGGCCACATTGCTTGCTTCCTCCAGTGAGAAAGCCCCACGCCTCAGCAGTCACTGGAGAGGTTTTATCTCCTGGAGATTCTGGGGTGTGGGGCTTCTCCACTACAGAAAGGAGGTAACGTGGCCATCACCTGGAGACTTACTAGCTGGAATTATTCTGTTTCTGAATGTGAGCCCCATATCGGCATTCCAAAGTCTCAGTAATAATATCATTTTCCCTACCACGCCTCCTTAATACCATTTCAAAGATATCATGTTTCATATTTAAAGACATTCTTCAGTATAGGAAAAATTTGCAAAATTCTTTTTGCTGGTTCTTCTCCACTGTCCACAGAATATTTACCCTATCCCTTTCTCCGGGGGGGGGGG